CTTCTGCCTGGCAGAATTGTTACTCTTTTGGTGCACTCCAGCAAGGCTGTGGTCATTGGGGATTCTCCTGTGAATTTACTACACAGCTCCACAGACTTTAAGGGGCAGTCCCAGGCCCCCCAGATGTTTTTGAGTCTCCCCAGTGCCCTCGGGCTTGGTGGCTAAGAGTGAGTCCCATCAGACAGGACGATGGGGGATTGGCCACAGAGCCAGACCATGAGTCTGGCATCCGGGCAGCCCCCATCATTTTGGCATGACCACCACTAGCATTTTAATGGAATGACATATCCATTACGCATCCTCTGCATGTATTTTTTATTTTTTTAAAGCTGTATTTGAGAGAGAGCGAGCACACAGAGGGGGAGGGGCAGAGGGAGAGAGTCTTCAAGCAGACTCCCCGCTGGGCTCAGAGCTTGCCACAGGGTTCTACTCCATGACCCTGAGATCAGGACCTGAGCTGAAACCAGGAGTCAGATGCGTAACCCACGGCACCAGCGAGGCGCCCCTGCATGTGTATTTTAAAACCTAGTTATAAGGCAGTGTACAATAGCTTACAGTCGTTCTTGTCTCTTTATAGTTAACATTTCTGGTCTTACGGGTATTTCTCTTTTCACCCTCTACTATGTCCTGGAGGGAGTTGCTTCGTACCCATGTAGAGTTCTTCCTCCTATGTGTTCTAAAACTGTCATTTAGAGAGCTCAAAGGGGCTGAAGATGACCATGTCCTCCATAACTTGGCTTGTCCTCACTCGGCCATCATCCCTCCAGCTGGAGGTCTTGTTCTCTCCACTGACCATGTCCAGCGAGAGCAGAGTGGTGGGTCCAGGCTCAGATCCGGGAGCTCACATCCGTGATGGACACGCAGCAGCCTGTAGAACAGAATTCTCCCCCCTGGCAGATTGCCCTTGCTCAGGGCTGGGCAGATCTGCACCTTATCAGGCTTGAGATGTGTCCTGGGACCAGAACGCAGGCTGGGGAATGACCTGGGCAGACAGTCGGTGCAAGACCAGGCTGGGGTGCTGCTCGTTGCAGGATGCTGCTGGTTCTCCCTAGAGATACAGGCCTACCTAGAGCCCTGGGGGACGGTCGGACTGGGGTCCTGGCTCCTACAACCCATTGTTTCCCAGCCCCAGGCCCATGGTCAGAGCAGGCACAGATCTAAAGACTAGCTGGGCTGTGAGTTCTTCTGTACTGTGGGCCTCAGCTCCTGGTGACTTCGCTTCTTCTTGCAACCTAGAAATGCAGTGGGACTTGAGTGTGTGCGTGTGTGTGCACGCGTGCCCATGTGTGTGAATAACCAGCATAGCTTCCTCCTTGCTCACGGTATCAGCGTGTTCCCTCATTCTGTAGTTCCTGATTTCATCTTGTCTGATATCTAAAAAGGCTCCCGAGAAACTGCATGTTCAAAGTACAAGTCTGGCTTTTACTTCCATCAGAGTTCCTTGTTTCTACAACTGCTTTGGGCCCCTCGAATGTTGTCTGCGGGCACCCTTCTCATTAGTTTCCTTTGCTCTAACTTACTGGAACAGGGCGAACGGTGGGGAGGGCAGATGTTGTGGTGCCTGGGCAGACAGGGCCTTGTCTCCAGCACTGGCCATGCTCCCAAAGAGTTTTGCCTCCGTCAGATGCTTGTTCCTTTACTGAGGCTCTCACGTGAGAGGCACTGGGGCATACAGGGAGTCCAAGGCAGCGTTCCTGTCCCCGGGGAAGCAAGGCTAGGGCCCAGGACACGGATCTCCCATGTGTCTTTGCTCTGTCTCTGTGTCCCAGCTGCGCCCCACAGCCCTCAGGCCGCACTGGTTGTGGCCCCATCAGCTGAGGTCGGGAAAGGGCGGCAGAATGCGAGCAGCTCCCTGCAGCCCTTGCTCTGTGGGCATCCGGGGCCTCTGAAATAAATAAGGTCTGGAGTGGAGAAGAGGAGCCCCACGGGCTCCAAGTGTCCCCGAAGGTGAAGGGTGGGGAGTTCCATGGTTGCTGCCTCATCTCTGCTGCTCCAGACTCTGTGCCCGGCCCGTTCTCCCTGTGCCCTGAGCCGGCAGGGGCAGGGGCTGGGGCAGGGCCCGGAGCCTCAAGGGGCCTTGACGGGGGCAGCTCAGAGGGGGTCTCACGCTGGGCTCCCTGGCTCTGGGGCTTTGCTTCTGCTGTTTTTCACTGTGGAGAAATAAAGAGCAGTGTCCTTGGCCAGAGGGACTTCCAAATTCCTGCACTGGGACTGGCATTGGCCAGCAGGTGAAAGAGAGTTTTGTCCGCCACCTGCAGTCCGAGGTTTCTTTACTGCTGGCTCCTTCTCTCCCTCTATTCCCAGGAGGTGAGGAGGGCCAAGAGGAGCCGACTTTGCTGAGAGAAGCATCTGTGAGATGCTGAGAAAGGGGCTGGGACAGCACAGACCTGTGGTGCCACCTAGGGGACAAGTGTTCCCGGTCTCGCAGCTGGCGCACACAGACGCCTCATTGCAAGTCAACCCAATTTATAAAACCCAGGATTCACTTTAAGAATAAAAAACGGAAGGGGGGGGGCGCCTGGCTGGCTCAGTGAGTTAAGCATCTGCCTTCAGCTCAGGTCATGATCCCAGGGTCCTCGGATCAAGCCCCATGTTGGGATCCCTGCTCAGAGGGGAGTCTGCTTCTCCCTCTGCTCCTCCCCCTGCTCATGCTCTCTCTCCTTCAAAGGAAAAAAAAAAGGAATAAAAAATGAGATGAAGAGAAAGGGAAAGGGGAGTCCTTGTTCACTTTCATAAAAATCATTTCAATTATTTCTCATTTACAAAGGCATTCCTTTTAGAGTACCTTTAAAAATGTATGCTCCCATCCTACATTTTAGGGATAATTGATTTAGTAAAAAATCCAGAATTTTTTTTTCCATGAAGGTAGAAAAGATAGCACTTATTATGTAGAGTGAGTTAAAACTATACAAGAATTGGATCAGTCTTCAGAAAGGCAATGCAGATATACTTGGTTTTATATATTATTCTCATTCTTATTTAAATTTTTCTTTAAGTCATGAAACTGAAAACCAAGGAGTGTTAATAGAAGGAAAAATTGTTCTTGCCTTGTTTGGATCCATCTAGGGTGGAGGCCACTAATTCTTGATCAAGTCCACTTAAATGCCAATGACTTAACAGATACGGCTCCGTCCCCCGAGCCAGACTCCTTCCCCCAGGTGCCCGCCCAGCATCTCCGCTTGGATGCCTGAAGCAAACTGCTGAGCCTCCCCTGGCCTGCTCCACCTGCAGCTTTCCCACCCCTGTGGCTAAGAAGCCCAGGAGTCATCCTTGACTCCTCCCTCTCCCACCCAACAGCCAAGCCAGGAGGAAATCTCAAATTTCCATCTTCAGAATATAAGCAGTGTCTGGCAAGTTCTCACTGCCCTGTTGCTGCCTCTAGGTCCGAGACAGTGCCATTTCTTGGCCTGGATTACGGCGGTAGCATCCTGACCAGCCTCCCTGCTTCCCACGTTGTCCCTCCACAGTTCATTTCAACAGGGCAGACCGAGGCATCCTTCCTTAAGTCAGGTGGTGTCTCTCTTTGACTCAAAAGCCTGCAGTGGGTCTGTTTTACTCAGAATAAAAGCCAAAGTCCCTACAATGGCTTCTCAGGGCCCACATGATATGCACCCAGATGCTTCTCTGGCTCATCTCCAACCCTTCTCCATCTTGCTCCCTCTGCTCCCGTCACACTGGCTTTTTGCACACCAAGTGCACTCCTGCTTTAGGACCTACTCTCCTCCCAGATATCTGCATGGCCAATGATCACCTCCTTTAAGTGTTTGCTCAACTGTCGGGACCTCCTTTAAGTGTTTGCTCAACTGTGTCTACCCTGACCAAATCCAATAATCCATACTGAAACAGTATTTGCTCAGTTTTCTTGAACTTGAGGTGGTCATTGACATGTACTTTGGTTAATTAAAAGTAGGGCGCCTCTATGTCCCAGTTTACACTTGTTGCCCCAGGGTTCTAGTAATAGCATCCCCTTCTCTTCCCAATAATCAATATATCATTTATTAGTATCAAGACTAAGTTCAGTAATTTGCTTCTTGGACATTTATCTCAGAATGAATTATGAACATCAACAAGGTTAAACTGGTTTTCAAATTTAGAAGAATAATACAAGATAATTCAACTACACCAAGAAATAAACAATTCAACTTAAAAAATGGGAAAGGGACTTAAGACATTTCTTCAAAAAGAGATGTAGGAATGGCCAATACACACAGGAAGAGATGCTCGACATCGCTGATTACTAAGGAAATGCAACTCAAAACCACAGTGAGGTACCCCTCACACCCATGAGGATGGCTAGTCTAAAAAAACAGAAAATAGCAAGTATCAGCGCAGGATGTGGAAAAATTGGAACCCCTTGTACAAGGTGATGAGTGTGTAAAATGGCACAAGTGCTATGGAAAACTGGCAAGTCCTAGAAATATTACAATCAGAGTTACTGTAGGATCCAGCAATTCCGCTTTCGGGTACGTGCCCAAAAGAACTGAAAGCAGGGCCGTGAATAGATAATTGTCCCCCCTTGTTGATAGTAGCATTCTTCACAAAAGCAACCCAAGTGTCCACGGATGGATGGAAGGATAAGCACACACGGCCTATACATACAACGGAGTATTCTTCTGTCTTAGATAAGAAGGCAGTGCTGACGTGTGACAGGACAGGGGTGAACCCCGAGGGCCCGATGCTGGCTGAGATAATCCAGGCACACAAGGACGGCTCCTGCAGGATTCGCCTTCTGTGAGGGGCCTGGAGTGGTCAGATTCTTAGTGGCAGGAAGAATGGTGCTTGTCAGCATGGGGGTGGGGGGCAGGAGAGTCCGTGCTGAACGGGGGCAGGGTCTCAGCTCTGCAAGTCGAGTCCCGGAGATGGAGGCGACCGGCGGTTGCACGACAGTGGGAAATGTATTTAAGCCACTCACAAATGGTTAAGATGATAAATTTTATGGTATGTGTATTTTTCCTCAGTTAAAAGATTTTTAAAAATCCAAGAAATGACAAAGGATCAGCTGAAGTTAAAGCAGTATTTATTCCATTTTTCTTGCAATCATAGTATCTAAGGCATACGTGGTAATTACGTGGCAAGAGAATACAATTTCTTTTAAGGCCTCTGTAGTTGGATTTTTGTGTAGAAATACATCTTTGCCTCATTATCCCTTAATCACACTCAGCCACTTGCGGTAGAGGGCACGTCTGGTTTCGCAGCTGCTCCGAAGGCCACCTGCCCTGCTGCGGCCTGAGCCAGCACAGTACGAGGGGGCCTCGCTGGGCCCCCTGCCCCTCAGGCCATGCTCTCAATGATAACGGCAATGCCTTGGCCACCTCCGATGCAAGCTGATCCAACAGCATATTTCCCGCCCCGACGCCTAGAAGAGAAAGCAGTGGCTGAAATCTACTCAAATAAAAAAACGGAGCTAATTAGAAAATTAATGACATAGAATTAGTAATGGTCCCATCTGCATTATTCATCCTCATTCAGCTCAGCGCCTCAATCTTTCCCCAATCCTCAGTCTTGGTTTATAGTCACAACACAAGGAATTCAGAAGACTGAATATATTTATTAAGAGACAGTGGTAACACAGAAGAGAGGCTGAAACAGATCTAGAAGCTGAGGTGTGTCGTGAGAAAGGAGAGAGGCCAGGTTGTCATGGGGATAAAAAGGAAGCTGAAGAAGGGGGAGTGAGCGGCCAGCCTCTTTGATTTTTATACAGATTCAGATTTTCATGGCACGTTAGTGGAACTGCAGTCAGTGAAGTTTGCCCATTTGAACAGGTAGGTGATTTGGAAGCATTTCATATCCCTTTCATAAAAATTAGACTCCTCTAAACCACGGTCTCTTCTCGCTCCTCAATCCAAGAGAAAAGCACCTGGGAACTTTCTGGTGCACGTCACTCATTTCAACTCCGTGAATTATTAAATGAAGGGCGCCTGGGTGGCTCAGTCAGTTAAGCGTCTGCCTTCAGCTCAGGTCACGATCCCGGGTCCTAGGATCGAGTCCCACGTCCGGCTCCCTGCTCAGTGGGGAGTCCACTTCTCCCTCTCCCTCTGCCTCTACCTGCCACTCCCCCTGCTTGTGTTCTCTGTCAAATAAATAAATAAAATCTTAAAAAAAAAAATTTTAAAAAAAGAAAAGAAATGAAATGAATCCCATTTACCTTAACCTAATAGGAGCCAGAGTGACTTTTTTGGCCTGACGTATTTGGTTTTGTTTGCTTCTTCCTAACAGAGCAAAATGGTCCAAAATACACAGTACCAGAAGGAGGAGCTCTTGTATTAAAACTGAGAAGTATCAGAACCGCAGATGGGCTCTTCTGGAACCCTGGCACAAGTGAGGGAAACACAGCTCAGACCCAAACTAGCAGTTTGCTCAGGTTTCTTAAATGACAGCATCCAGCTCAGAATCCTCCCAATATTTTGTTTGTTCTCCTAAAGAACTATCTCGGGGCACCTGGGTGGCTCAGGAGTCAAGCGTCTGCCTTCGGCTCAGGTCATGATCCCACGGTCCTGGGATCGAGCCCTGCATCAGGATCCCTGCTCCGTGGGAAGCCTGCTTCTCCCTCTCCCACTCCCCCTGCTGGTGTTCCCTCTCTCGCTGTCAAAAAAAAAAATAAAATAGGGGTGCCTGGGTGGCTCAGTTGGTTGGGCGACTGCCTTCGGCTCAGGTCATGATCCTGGAGTCCCGGGATCGAGTCCCACATCAGGCTTCCTGCTCGGCAGGGAGTCTGCTTCTCCCTCTGATGCTCTATCTTATTCTCTCTCTCTCTCTCTCAAATAAATAAATAAATAAATAAATAAATAAATAAATAAATAAAATCTTTAAAAATAAAATAAAATAAAGAACTGTATCTCACTCCTGTAACTGGCACTGGAGTATAAGTACACCACAACGACTGAAGTCCTCAGTAGGGCTGGCTGCTGTGCACCAGTGCTGGGTGGTGGGGATGGGGCAGGAGGGGGAGGAGGTGCAGTCCTGGCGGCAGTGGGGACAGCGCTGGGGAGGGGCCAGAGGCTCAGTGAGCACACGGCAAACATGAGGAAGCGTGCACATCCCAAGTGCAACGCCACTGACAAGTCAACCAAGTCAGATAAGGTCAGCCCCAAAGAGGTGCCCCCAAATACCTTGTTCCTGGTGAGAAGCAGTACAGGGGGATATGAGGAAGAATGGAAAATGCTGGACTGTTCTGAGGAAACCCAAATCCATGCATTTTTACCCAAGATGGCAAATATGAAATGCAACAATTTCTAGCAAATACCTTAATTCGTGAACCAGGTGCGCCATAATTCTTGTTCCAGATCCTCCCAGGGGATGACCCAAAGCAATGGCTCCACCATTCACATTGGTTTTACTTGGGTCAAGATCCAAACTCTTCTCGACTGCTAAGTATTGAGGAGCAAAAGCTTCATTCACCTAAAAATAATCAAAACACAGATAAAAATCCTTGTTTGTAAGTTGATTTTTAACTGACAATTGTCCAGTCCTACTGATGACTACTTTTGCTCTTTTTTTCCTATTTAAACTACCTTACGATGTTATTTTATTTTCAACCACTCTTTGTAAAGATAACAGGTTTAAAAACGGGTGTATTTACTAATTGATACTTTAAGTCAAAGGCATCCCTTGGAGAAAAGAAATCCTCAGCGATGTTGTAAATGGATACCTGTAGAGGCAGTGGGAGATGGCCTACAGGTTCTGGAGCCAGAGGGATGGTTCAAATCTTGGCTGTATGCATGTTCTTTAAGCTCTTGACACTCAAGGTTCCTTAAATAGTAAAATGTGACTGTAGTACATCCTAGGAGTTATTGTCAAGGTTAAATGAAATCATGGGTATTAAGTGTCTGGTGTATTACTTGACACATACCAACCATTCAGTAGATGGTTGCTCCTATTACTGTATTACCCAGTACTACTAGCCATTCTTCCAAGAAGAAACTGACACACAACCAGGATAAACCTTCAGAACCAGATACATAGAGGAATGGTTACCATGCTAAAATTTGGCAGATCTGAAAAGTATCATATTGTATTTACTTAACAAGGTTGGCTGTGAGAATTACCTTCCTTCAAGTTCATAGCACTATAATTTCATATGATCTTAGCTAGAAAATTTTATAGGTAAGAAAACTGATTTTTTTTTTTACGATTTTATTTATTTGAGAGAGAAAGAGAGAGAGCACAAGAGGGGAGAGGGTCAGAAGGAGAGGCAGACTCCCCGCTGAGCTGGGAGCCCGATGCAGGACTCCGGGACCATGACCCAAGCCAAAGGCAGCCACCCAACCAACTGAGCCATCCAGGCACCCAAGAAAACTGATTTTAAGAAAGGTAACTTTTACAGAGTCGAGATCAAAATCCAGCCTTGTGTTCTTTCCTACTATAGTTTGTGTTTTCCCAAGATGGTGCTTTGTTTGTCCTTAGGTCCTACATTATTTTTCCATTTTATATGGTCATGTTTAAGGCGGTACTAAGAGACCTGGAACATGAACTAGCAAAACTAGGTTTTTGAACTGAGGAAAAACTACCACACGATGATCAAAAGTCCCAAAGACAATCATATCAAGGTACTGAGAGCTATGTCCTTGAGTACATACACATCTATAAACGATTATGAACAGCTTTGCAGAGCTGACATATGTAAACAGAGTTTTAAGTGTGAAATCTAGAGTCAGAAATTCAGGGACATTATTTGCTAATATAAGTATGATAATTAAGCAGCCCCCTTGAGGCTCTAAGAATGGAAGAAGAGATATAAGGATAAGCTATTTGTCTAAAACCATGGTTTGCTGGATGAGAGATTACCACAGGAGATCACACCTGTGAGTGAGAAGCCCCTTTTCTACCAATTTAAATGAAGAGATTTCCTTTGTTATATTAGTGATTTCCCAATGTCAAGCAGCATATGTTTAATTACGTAAAATTTTCAAATCGTCCCCAAATGTAAAATGTATATTATTTTTCACCCACCTTATATAATATTCAATTCAATTCAACAAGCACATTGGTAATCTAAAATGCAATATTCTTATCAGGTTCTAAAAAGTTTCTAGGAATTCATATTTTAGAAGGAGAAATCAGACTGTTTTAATTCTTAGAAAATACATAAAGCATTTTAATCAGGTAGAGGAAAGTACCGACCCAAAGCATGTGACAAAATTAATACTTAGATGCACATCATTTGGAAAGGCACGGAAACAAAAAAAAGCTGCAAAATACCATATTAAAGCCATTTATGCTATAGAAATGGCTTATTCATGTAAAATAGTGTAACACTTACCTCTACCAAATCCATGTCCTTAAGACTTTGCCCTGTTTTCTTCAGTACCCCATTGATGGCAGGGACAGGACCTATATAAGAGCAAAATCAGTTTCACCTTATATTAAGTATCAAATTTCTCCTCCTTACTAAACAGTTAAGGAAGAAATAATGTGAGTTATAGTAGCCACAAATCTTACTACCTTGATAGCACATTATTCAATGTGACAATAAAAAAACAGAAAACAGAACCAAAGTGAAAAGCTGGCTGTGCAAAATTGTAAATGAGAGGCTCACATGGAAAGTTCCACCGGAAATGGCTTTAAGAGTTCAGAGAGCCAAAGGAGCCCTCTATGGGGTTTTGCAGTCATTGACAGATCATGCTTCATACCAAAAGTCCAGTCAGACTGAGGGCTCTCCTGGGACACAAATCACATGCATTCCTAGTAGAGAAGTGGCTGTGGCCACTCTCTGGATTTTCAGGCCCATCTGGACAAAAGACAGCAGCATCTCCACATGGGCACAGCAAAGCAGGAAGCCACAAGGCACTTCAGGGAAAGGACACCGGAAGCAAAGAAGTGTTCATGATGCCAATGGTAGGCAGAGATTTTAAACAAAACAAAACCCCCACTGCAGAAATGCAAATCCACCTAATAAGACTTCTGAAACTTTAGCTCCCAGCTTACTGATGATCACCAATGCCAGTTTAATGCTGCTCAAAATTTTTAAGTATATTGGTATTTTTTCCCCAAAAGGTAAAAAACCTGGCTGAAGAAGATTATCTACTTCACTATCTATTCTTAGAGAATGAAATTGCCATAAACGTCTAAAAAATATATGTGTTATGTTCTATTGAATTTAAGTAGTCAAATATTCTGCAACAAGTTTCATAAATATACCTAAAGTAATAGGGGAAATCGGTCTTTACAAGAAAAGCATAATGCAATCTAAATACAATGTACTCTGTCACCCAGTTAAAATGTTCTTTGGACAACAGTCTGCTTACTGCTGGAGGGCATCCAGTTAGCCCTTTTCAGTCTGGCTACCAATTTAACACAGAAGCTAGTTCCAGATTCTCTTTGTATGTCTAAGGCACAAAAATAGGATAGATGGTCAACAGCAGAGCGTCGGTTAGCTGGCAAGGTCAGGGGATGAAGTATCCTACAGGGATCAGATACGCAGAATTAAAAGCCGAGGGTGTACACTCTACACAACTACACTACACTCTACACAACTCCTTGTCTTCATATCCATAGTAAGCAAGACTCAAGGGCATTCTGGTTAACTTAGAATCGTTACAGTCAGTTGTTACAATACACTCAGCCACAACCTGTTTTAAAGGATTGTTCCCACAACATTTTTACTGGACTCAGAAAGTTATAGTATTCTTGTTGGGAAAAGGAGACCTCATTTCTAGTCTTACCACTAATAGCTATGTGAGCTTGGGCACCTTTTTTGGGCTCTAAGCTTCTCATCAGAAGTGGTTTGAACTGGTTTTTAACCATTGGAATCCTTTCTACAAATAAAGCCCGGTAAAAGATAAAACCACAGCTGCTTCAGCTGTAGCAGTTCAAAGCTTACCCACCACTGCCACCACTGGGGAGTTCCAGGGAGCGCTGTCTTTCCATTTGTGTCCTTCCTGTGAGCCATTACTAGTCTCAAGTCCCAGCTTTCCTACCTTTTCTGGGTCAGCAGCTACTCTTGCAAGGCTAAGGATTGCTTGATGTTGGATAACTACATAACCAAGGAAACTATTCTTAGAAATTGGATTGATGAATCAATCCCCACCACTCAATAACCACTCTCCCTTGTTTATTCATTTGGGGCACTCCATGTAGTTACCTTGTTTAATCCTATACAACAACTGACAGACAGCTGTCTAGGTGAAGGGACATCTGACACTGAGACATTTGGCATTTATGGCTCTGTTCAAGCCCTGAGGAAAAAAAAAAACAATCCTTCCACCACAATGGTGTTCACCGTACTACACGGCCAACATCCAGACCCTGGAAGAGAAGGAAGGAAAGCTACATTTTCTTTGCTCACTATGTTAATGTATCAGAACCTATTCAGTGAGGTTAAAAAGAACTATAAAATTACTACTTACCTATATCAGATAAATTTGATTGATCATCAAAACCATCCTGGTACACTTAAAAAAACCCATACTCTCCAGGCTTTACTCTGGAACTACTGAAACAAAATCTTTTGGGGTGGGGTGATGGGTAGATTCTGATGATCATTTGGGGTCTGGGAAACCACTGTTCTAGACACTAAAGTGATAAATGCCATACCAATAGACAGACATTTAATTTTTTAAGCTACCTTCCTTCTCTAAAACAAAAGCAGTGTTTTACCAATAGCGAGTAGCTAAAAGCTAATAAGCTTTTAAGGCTGAAATATAGAAAAAATCGACTTTTAATAGATGGTTACATAGCTTGCAGTTTTGGTTAAAGTAATCTCAAACACAGTGAAAGCGACACAATATGGACATGGCAGCAAATATGGCTGGGTATTAACTTAGTCCCAAACGAGCACAAGTGGTATTACTTGAGGAGAACCTTGAGGCGTACACTGAAGGATCTCTGAGAACACAGGTCAGCAACAGGTCGTCTCCCTTCTACCTTGGGACCTACTTCAAAACCCAATTAGTTAGCTGGAAAAGGCCTAACTAAGTTCATAGAAAAATCTCTGGACCCATCGAGAATCTGAATCTAGCTCTAGGATAGTCTTTTCTTTGGGGTTATGAGGGTATATGTGGGATAGGATAAAACCTCCGGGCACTAATATTTTTGTAAGTGAAGCTCCTCATCAATTCTGCTCCTGGAGAATGACGACAGAAATTATTAAAATTCAGCATCATCTGAAGTTCCTAGGAGTGCAACGAGCAAAAAGCTCTTTGTTCTCCTTCTAATTTTTTTTTTTTTTTTAAGATTTTATTTATTTATTTGACAGAGACACAGAGAGGGAACACAGCAGGGGGAGTGGGAGAGGGAGAAGCAGGCTTCCCGCTGAGCAGGGAGCCCGATGCGGGGCTCGATCCCAGGACCCTGGGACCATGACCCGAACCGAAGGCAGACACCCAACGACTGAGCCACCCAGGCGCCCCTCCTTCTAATTCATATTTTTCAAGCCAAGAAAGACTAGCCCTTGAACAACACAAGTTTGAACTGAACAGGTCCACTTACATGCAGATTTTCTTGATAAATACAGTACTATAAATGTATTTTCTTACAGTTTTCTTAATAACATTTCCTTTTCTCCAGTTTGCCATAAGAATATAGTACGTATACAACATACAAACTATGTGTTAAAAGCTTATGTTATGGGTAAGGCTTCTGGGCAACAGTAGGCTATTAGTAGTTATGTTTTGGGGGAAGCAACAGTTATACCTGGATTTCAACTGCATGACGGTTGGCACCCCTAGCCTCCATGTTGTTCAAGGGTCAACTATACACATTTGTAGGGAGTTCTCCTGTTAATCTTTGCCAATCAAGATACACTATAATTCTTCATTTTTCCTATGAAGCTGCAGCTGAGCCAGGTGGGCGTGACTTTGACTTCCAGGACAACATGGTGAGAAGAGCACTTGAATTAGAGAGGCCCGGTTCCCATTCTGCCTCCATCACTTACTGGTCTGGAACTTGACAAGTCAACCTCCCTAAGCCTTCATTTTCTCCTTCACAAAGAGGTTGTGGGAAAAGGAAATGAGACACACCAGAGACCGCATGCAGAACATCCAGCATTCAGCCATCTCTGTTTCGCCCCAGGATCTCTTGCCTGTTCTCTCATCTGGTCAGCACCTGGTAACTCTTCTGTTATACGCTGGGGGCCAGTTTTAAATATCTCAAATGGACAGTGAGACGTGATTACTACCCACAAGCAGTTTACAGTCTTGGTTTTCCTATTGTGCCTGGCACAGGTTTTCTAGATTTGTTTAAATGACTGATTACCAGTTTCCTTTTCTCCACAAGTGATCTTGATTTGGCTACCGTTTCAGGTATCTGAATGCCAAAGAAGATTTCTCTCTAGAAACTAACAGAACCAGTTTGTTTCACTACAAACTTACCAATACCCATGATAGAAGGATCACATCCAGACACAAAATAGCCCACAATTCTTGCCAGTGGTGTGAAGTTATGTTTTTTAACAGCGTCTTCACTAGCTATGATAACAGCTCCAGCACCATCAGATACCCCCTGGGAAACAAAAACAGAAGATTAACTAGAGGGCAGAAGGACCCAGTAAATCAAGGTTTGAATTAACGGGGGTAGTGTTAGGATTGTGGTAATACGTAAGCAGCAGCACCACGATCTGGGCTACGACTAGTGCTGGCAATGCTCCGCTGGGTCAGAAATTGTTTTAGGCACAGAATCCAACCTCACCAAGGGAAAACGGGAAATATGTCCAGGAAAAGCTTATGTCCAGATGTGGGGAGATGTAAGAAATCTGATGAGTTGTATACATCAGAAAAACCAACCAACCAACCCGTAAAAACTGAAAGAATAACCAAGTAGATTTCCTTCTAGATTCCTCATAATATTCAGAACAGACTAAGAAACTGGAAGAGTATTATATGGGAGTTAAAATATTTTGTTTGGGACTATGACAACCCCAATTAACAGAATATGAACACTGCCAGGTTAAGCTAAATAGCTAAAGACTAGCATGAGAAGTAGCCAAAAGATACCACGTGACTACTTTGCACTGAACGTCAGCAAGAGTCCAAGATGATCTGTGGCGCCACCTACCGAGGCGTTCCCTGCGGTCACGGTTCCTTCTTTCTTGAATACCGGGGGGAGTTTATTTAACTGCTCCAGGGTTGTTTGGGGCCGAGCATGCTCGTCCACCTGCATTGTCTGTTTCCCCTTCTTCATCTTCACCTCAATTGGTACCATCTCGTTATTAAAGTAGCCAGCATCATTAGCTGAAACAGGAGAAAGACCATCATAAGAATGGGAGAAAAAGAAGATACACGGAACGAATCAGACACATCCTTCCCAATTAATTTCTGCTCTGCCCTTTCCTCACAGGCTACTTTAATATAAGCCTTTGTTACATGTACACAGCTTACATTGCCTGTTGGAGGACTTAATACACTGCCATAAATCTATGCAAATGCATTCTGCATCTTTTTAAAATTTTAATTTTGATCTTTTTTACTACAAGTTCTTTTTACAAGATATCGCTAGACTATTAGCAGTCCTTGTCTGTTACAGATATAAAAGCACGTGGTAAAATTTAATGTCTCATTTAAACTTCTCTGGGTGAGATAACAAGTAATTTAAAAGTTACAAAGTTGTACAATGATAACGTATTGTACACTTAAAAATTTGTTAAGGGTCGGTAGGGTTGATGTTAAGTGTCTTTACCACGGTAAGAAAAAAGAAGTTGTCTCTAAAAGAAGTTACCGATCTAGGTCACCAAGGGATCTATGACTGAAATTTAAGGACAAGCAACCTGAAGAAATTCTGTGAGCAATTGTGGACACAGTTCTAAGTGAACCAGCTGACCTACTTCCATCCCCACAGACTAGAATGGACTACAGTAATCCGCCGCTTCAGAAACAGGATACGCCGGGAGTGAGACCACCTTCCTTCTGATATCCCTTTACAACAGGCTACACACTTCCCTCATCTGTTTTTCACAACTCTTAGGGCAACAGGGGAGGCAAATCTTTTTTATCTCTATTGTACAGATGCCCAGTGAATAAATGACTTGGCTGAGGTCAGATAACTTGTATGCGGCAAAGATAGAAACAGAACTCATGACTCTTGGCCTCGGAGCAGCACCCTCCCACTTTACATGTGTAACTGAAAAACACAGCATGAACTGGCTGGCATCGGCTCCGTCCACTTCTCCCTCTGAAACGCTAAGATGGACTTTATTTTCACTGTTCCAAGTAGTTAATGCCCCTAAAGAAGAGTTGCTGCTCATTTATAATTGTTTCATTTAAAAAATCTTTTTCAGGAGACTAATAAATGTCTTCAACTCACCATACTGTCATGTGGCCCACTTTGGACTGGTCTGACAGTAGCGTGGGGTGTTACACCAAGGGCACCTGAGCTCTGGCCACAGACAGTTCTGAGTCTTCGAGTCAGGGTGCAATGATTCTCAATTAGGAATGGGAGCAGGGAGGCACAAAAGAATACCCAATGGGTCCTTTCCAAACATAACCATCCTTCCTTGTGAACAGGATATGCCTCACAGAGGAGGACACCCGCTCTGTCCCAGCAGCCCCTGTGAGCCATCGCCTCTCACAGTCTAACAGAGCCCTCGGAGTAGAGTATCCTACTGACATCAGAACCAGTTCAGGACTCAAGTGGCCAGATAAGGTCAATTAACAAGGCCCCTTTTTAAGTAATATTACTATATTTCAAAAGAGAAATTTTGCAATCATTAATAGAATATCTACTCATATAAAAACAAAGGAATGGTGGAAAAAATGTGATTTTTCAAAAGGTAAATTTATGACCATTATAACCTGAAAATGACAAAAATCTCTATTTTTCTTAAACCGAGGTATAACTGACATATAACATTATATTAGCTTCAGGTATACAACGTAGTATTTGTGTATACAGGACTGCACGATGATCACCGCTTAAGTCTAGTTAACATCTGTCCCCAGACATAGCTGCAAAAAATGTTTTTTCTTGTGATGAGAACTTTTAAGACCTACTCTATGAGCGACTTCACACATGCGCTACAATGCTCTCTAATTATGGTCACCAGGCTGTACATTACATCCCCGGGACTTACTTTATAACCTTTATTTTGTAACTTTTGACTCCCTCCACCCATTTCACATCCCCGCCCGCCCAGTTTTCTTCTGTAGATGTTTCTAATATCCAAGCTCACTGACCAGCCTTCCACCTCTGCTGTGACCGCAGGGCATACTTGTCACAGTCTTCTCTGCTTATATTATGTTTTGCAGCAAGATTCTCTGCAGTGATTCCCATGGGGAGTCGGACATGCTCATCTGTTAATCCTGACCACAAAGTATCTTCCAGCTATTATAAGACATGAGTAATAAAGTGATCAGTTAAAGCATATCTTTTGAAAGTAATATGCTGTAATAGCTTTACATTTAAATAATAGTTCCAATAAATGAAAGTAAAATTAGATTTTCTGATAGCATTTACTATTACCACTATTCATCTTTGGTTCTGGGACATTTAAAAAAAACACCCAATGCACAGGTTTTCCTCTTAACTGTGGGGCTCTAAAGAGAGCCAACAGCACTAAATGTGCAGGGAGAGGACACAGGAAGTTTTCCTACCGTCAAAAATGAGACCCCTGGGGCTCCTGGGTGGCTCAGTCAGTTAAGCATCTGCCTTTGGCTTGGGTCATGATCTCAGGGTCCTGGGATCGAGCCCCGTATCAGGCTCCCTGCTCAGCGGGGAGCCTGCTTCTCCCTCTCACTCTCCCTCTGTGCACTCTCTCGCAAATAAATAAATAAAATCTTAAAAAAAAAGAAAAGAAACCCCAAAGGCTACATTTTGTAAGAAACCTAACACGGGGCCCTCATGCAATGTTTCCCTGTGGCCACCTTTGTGAACCAGGATTCTGAGCTCTGCAGGAGTGTGTGTGAGCTCCTTCAGTGACAGAACCTCTGGTTCCGTCCTCTACTATGAGGAACCCCGTATAGGTTCCTTGAAGAACAGAAGAGTTGTTACTTATTATCCAGTGAAGTTGTTATTTATTATCCAGCTCTGGTAAGTGTGCCCCTTCTGTGTCTTCTCCACTGTCTCATCACCTTCGAGTCACCGACCTGTCTTTCCCAAGGTGTTCTCAAATATACTTGGTGTCTAAAATACTATCTCATATTTTCTAAGTCTTATTCTTTCCAACTTTCAAAAAGGCCAGGGGACAAACTGGGTGAACAGTGTAAACCAGTCAATGCTGTTGGAAAATGCTAACAACAGAGAATGTCATTAGCCCTTTCACACGGGAGGGACAGCACCCTAGTGTTCTATATCAGTATTGTCATTCCCTTGCCGTAGCTCTCAAAGATGTGATCAGTTTTCATCTGACTGATCTGGGACAATATCGTCTATATTCAAAGAGAATGTTAAAAAAAAAAAAACAAAACCCAAAAACCAACCAAACAAAAAAAACCAAAGAGAACGTTTTCTGTGATGATGATACCTATTCAACGAAGACTGCTCCAGGAATAAAACTTCCATAAATCATGGTAAAGATTTAATTACTGGGTTTACCATTTATTCAGTAGAGAAATTAATTACTTCAACCTCTGCCTATCTTTTTATCTGCCTCTTCCCTTCCTCTGTCTCCCCAGGTATTAATTCCACGACCAGAGGTATGCTGAGATAAAGTCTATTTGGACTTTTTTAAATGTGGGTATAAAAGTCAAAACTAAAAACCAAACTGGGGTTTTGAAAGTTTACAAATTTCAAGTCATTTGTATCTCGTAACGAAATTCGTTTCAAAATTTGTTTTCTTGGGGCGCCTGGGTGGTTCAGTCGTTAAGCGTCTGCCTTCAGCTCAGGTCATGATCCCGGAGTCCTGGGATGGAGCCCCGCATTGGGCTCCCTGATCAGCGGGAAGCCTGCTTCTCCCTCTCCCATTCTCCCTGCTTGTGTTCCCTCTCTCGCTGTGTTTCTGTCAAAATAAATAAATAAAATCTTAAAAAAACAAACAAAAAAAACCCAAAATTTGTTTTCTCTCTCCCAAAATGGTGTTATTAAAATTATTAGCATAAAAGCATGAAAAATAATTTTCAAACATTTGAATGGTTCCAACCTTGAGATCTAATCCAAACTTGGTTCCAAAACGTATGTTTCTGACACAGTAGGGAGACTGGCTCATGCTTTCAGTTCCTCCACACAAGACAACGTCAGCATCTTTAACACAAATTTCCTATTTGAAAACGAACGAGCAACAACAATAAAAAAACTTTTATTGTAACAGAGGTACGTATTCAGCAGTAAACTAATAGTACATGTAATGATTTACACTCTCAAAAGGAAATACTTGTCAAGTAATTGTAAAGTGAATGCTCCAGCATCCATTCCCAAGAGACAAGGGGAGAAAAACCTAACAGACTTCAATTGTGTGTGCACAAGTGACAAATTCTATCTACATTTTGGCAAGGAATGATAATTCTTACCCTCAATATAAATCTTGAAAATCAGCAGAGATATTAATGCCTGGCATAATATACAGATTGTTAGCTGAGGATAATCTTTTAAAAAGATGGAAGTAGAATTTATCCCATTAATGGAGGAATCTGAAGCAGACCACACACTTACAAGAACTGGGTTAATCGAGGAGGATCATAAAGAGAAACCCATTTCATCCTTCTAACGCTTTCCACTATTTGCATTTCTCAGAAAAGCAGCAAGTAACAAGCCTCCAGAGCCCAGTGTTCTCAGTGACTTCTAGGAAAATCAGGATCACTGTTTCAGATATATCATTATAAAAATAAATTAACATGAAAGTAATTCATCCATTACAATATGTCCATATCCTTCATTCTGTAAAGAAAGGAAGATCTGGACAAATAAAATTGGATTTCATTGTATCCCTTTTCCCTGTGCTCAAGGGAACAAATGTATTTGCCCAAGTAAGTATTCATCCCTTAAAAAGGAATACTTTTTTTTTTGATTCATTAAAATATTTATTGAGCAGCTAGGGAGATACAAAAGTGATTAAAACATCGTCAAAGAGGGGAGGCAAATGCACACATCACAGAAAGCCAAGTGTAAGGGGGTCACTGAATCACAGCAGTCACAAGAAAAGTGCTTCAGGAGATCAAGAACAAGACGGCTTCCAGAGAAGGAATACATTTCTTAACAGCCCCTAAATCCTCCAACTCTCTTCCTAGCTTTATAGTCTTTATTCAGTTTCACACTGCCTCACAGGGAACTCTCACAGTCCTGGGTTCAAGTTCTGCCTCTAAGTCACCTTATTGATCAGTTTCCTTGCCTGTTAAATGGGAACAGGGATAGTGCCTGCCTCATTGGATGGTTGTGAAGATTAAGTGAGATACTGAACGTAAATCTAGCAGAGGCTGGGCACACAGGAAGAACTCGATAAAAATGACAGTTGTGATTAGCTTTTAAAAAAAATCTGTGATACAATATACATAACTTAAAATTTACCATTGTAACCAATTTTATGTGTACAGTTCATTAAGTACTTCACATTGTTGTGTGACCAACCACCACTCATCTCCAGACATCTTTCTGGCTCTGCAAGCTGGAACTCAGTACCCATGAAACATGAACTCCTCACTCCCTCCAGCCCCAGCCCCAGCCCCCACCGTCCTACTTTCTGTCTCTATGAATCTGACTACTCACAGAAGTGAAATCATACAGTATTTGTCCTTTTGTGACTCCCTTATTCCATTTAGCATGTCTTCAAAGATCCGTGAACAGCTTTTAAGAAACTATTTTCTTCCTGTGAATACTTTTCCATGAAAAAAAGCAAATACTGACCTTTCCTAATAAAGCACTATAAAATAAAAGCCCACAGTGTTATACTGAAGTGGGTCATTTCCTCCAATAGCTTTTAACGTATTTTCAGAGAAGTAATAAAATGTTGCCCATACCTGACATCCACTCACAATGGACTGGAAACCAGAGCCACAGAGTCTGTTAACAGTCAGAGCTGGGATCTCTTTTGGGACTCCCACACGCAAACCAACATGCCGGGCCAAATATGCAGCATCTGAAGAACTCTGGAATGGAGGGAAAAGAAAAAGAATGTCCTTTATAAATCTTAGCAGTAAGAAGGAGGACAAAATATATGGAAATGTGGGCAATCTATCGAAAATGATAAACTATATGGCTCTAAGGTAGGACACAATGCATACAGGTAAACCATATATTTTATGTAATACAGGTGTTTATTATTTGAATAAAAACTAATTTGGTCAGTTGGTTTTTAAACATACAAAGTATGAGAAATCCTTATATTAAGTCTTTATATGACAGAAATTTATAACAATTACAACTGCTTAAAAACAGAATGGGCTATCTTAGTATGTTCCTTAACAGAGAAAGTATCGAAGGCTGCAGTTCTCAACCTCGGCTGCACACTGGAATAACCAGGAAAGCTTGATTAACATACCAATGCTTGAGTGGAACCAAACCAATTAAACCAGAAAGGCGCAGGCAAGGCATGGGTATCAGTAGATTCTTTAAGCACCCAGGGGATTATAACGTGAAACTGAGGCTGAGACCTGTTGACCTAGGGAGGGGAGAGATAAACAAGGACCCTAGGTTCAATAGTAACAGCGTTGGCCCTGCTTTGGGGTCCAAGAATAGCAGTGATGGCAGGTAGCCTGCTGCAGACTTAGGAGGTGGACACTTGTTTCTTGTGAAATCTGCACTTTGGTGTTTTTATATCTATTTCCTATCCTATTACCCCAACCTGTACACTTGTTCTGTGGTTTTGGTCTCCTGTATTTTTTTTTTAAGATTTTATTTATTTATTTTGAGTGAGAGAGAGAGAGAGCGAGCACAGACGGAGAAACAGATGCCCCGCTCAGCAGAGAGCCCGATGCGGGACTCGATCCCAGGACTGACCTGAGCGGAAGGCAGACGCTTAACCACCTGGTTAACCCAGGTGCCCCTGGTCTCCTGTTTAATGGCACACAAATAATACTACCAGGTAGCCAGAACCAGGTGTGAACGTGTTGAGATTTTTTTACTGTTTACCATGATAAGGAAAATTGTGAAAGAACACATATAAAAGATCCAATGGCATAAAATAAATGCAGAGCTGGAAGTGGACTCCCAAGGGCTGATAGACTTGATATGTGTGAGTGTGAGTGTGCGATAAGCTTCTCATCCCTGCCTGGATGCAGTGTTCTTAGCCTTAGTGGAAAAACTTGGTTTAGTGGTTTGAGCCTAGTGTGGCAAATAGATCGTAAAGGACAAACCAGTATACTGATACCTATACACGGAGCAGTGCTATAGCTGTCTATATAAATAGAGAAACGGGCTTAGCCACAGAGGTTTAAACTATCTGGTTGTCCCATATATTAACACAAACCAGGGCTCGGATACACAGTTGTGTTTCATGTTTTATGGTCTCCCAGCCTTTCCAGCCCAGGCACTTTTGGACAAATCTTTGTCCTCATTTGAGGTTTTGTTGTTGGGTTTTTGTGTTTGTTTTTGTGGGTATTTGCCTCATTCCATCTCTGAGCTTTCCAGGTAGACGGATGTGATTCAAAACTTATGTTCTAAGGTGTTTCTTGTTGAGGAGTAATTGGTTTACAGGAGTAAGTCATGTTTCTCCACTAAAGGGGGAGTGGGGGGGGTGGTAATCCACAAGACAAACCACAGTTGTTAGAAGAATTTCTTGATTAGAAATTTTAGCTTTGAGTTTTGTTGCTTAGTTCCTAAAATAACTTAGAGATGTTCCTCATTGGTCCATCTGCTGTGGGAAACAAAGGCAGAAAAAGCAATTATTAAATTTTCTTACTACTGAGAAAGAAGTAAAACTAGCTCTACTCCCAGATGACACGATGTCACCTACTAATAAATGCTAAGGAATTAATTAAAAAATTATTAGAATAAATGGGTTCAGCAATCATGGTACAAGATCAATATACAAAAATCAATTATTTTTCTATACACTTGAAATGAACAATCTGAAATGAAATGAGACAACAATTCTATTCAAAACAGCATCAAGGGCCGCCTGGGTGGCTCAGTCGTTAAGCGTCTGCCTTCGGCTCAGGTCATGGTCCCAGGGTCCTGGGATCGAGCCCCGCATCGGACTCCCTGCTCGGCGGGAAGCCTGCTTCTCCCTCTCCCACTCCCCCTGCTTGTGTTCCTGCTCTCACTGTGTCTCTGTCAAATAAATAAAATCTTATTAAAAAAAAACAAAACAAAAAACAGCATCAAAAAGAATAAAATACTTAGGAATCAATTTAACAAAGGCCGTATAAACCATATATTCTAAAACTATAAAATAAGCTGCTAACAGCCCTGAACGGGGCCAGACTTTCACCTTGGGCTGCCTGTCTCATTACAACCCTAAAGATGACTGGGACCCTCGCAGCATCTGTGGGTGTATAACTCCCCGGCTCTCTCAAGCCGGCTCAGCAGTGGTGCTTTCGGCAGTAAAAGTCCTAACGAAGTGTGTAGTGTTGTCACCCAAGACTCTGACAACTACAATATGCTGCTGAAGAAGTGGGCCCCTCTATCTGTCACTTCACTCTCTGGGGAACCAGACATGCAGCACGTCACCCTGGGGAATATCAATCTAATTGTCCAAAAATGACCCAAAATCTTGAAGCAGGAAATCAAAGTCTTCTTTGTGATGTACAATGATCCCATCTATGTTAAATTAGAGAAACTGGACATTATGATTCGCTTGGCATCCCAAGTCAACACTGCTCAGGTTCTGGCAGAATGAAAGGAATATGCCACAGAAGTGGATGTTGACTTTGTTTGAAAAGCTGTGTGGGCCACGGGACGGTGTGCCATCAAAGTGCAGCGATCCACAGAGTGCCGTGTAAGCATACTGCTTGATCTCACCCAGACCAAAGGAAGTGGCCCAAGAGGCAACTGTTGTCACCAGAGACATCTTCCGCAAACACCCCAACAAGTCCAAAAGTACCGTTGCCACTGTGTGTGAGAACCTAAGACTCGCTGGATGAGCCAGGTGCTCAAGGAGGCTATGATTTGGATGGTGGGAGAATATGCTGGGAAACCTGACGATGCAGAGGAGTTACTGGACAGCTTCCGGGCGGGTTTTCATGATGAAAGCACCAGGTGCAGCTTACTCTGCTTACTGTCATAGTGAAGCTGTTTCTCAACAAACCACCAGAAACACAGAAGCTGGTACAGCAAGTCTTGAGTCTGGCAACACGGGATTCTGATAAACCTGACCTTCGAGACCAGGGCTATATTTATTGGTGTCTTCTCTCAACAGACCCTGTCACAGGCAAAGAAGTGGTCTAGTCTGAGAAGCCACTGATGTCTGAGGAGATAGATCATACTGTGCCAACTCTGCTGGATGAGCTGATCTGCCACACTGGATCTTTGGCCTTGGTGTACCATATAAGCCTCCCAATGCTTTTGTCATTTTGGAAGGAAGTCATGGAATCCGTTGCAAACACTTGCCAATACATCATGGGAGCATTGATGCAGGTGACAGCCTTGTTGGCAACAGCCTCAGGTTATCCCCTCTCAAGGTGACCTTCTAGACCTTTTAAACCTTGACCTCGGTCCCCCAGTCAATGTGCTTCCGGTGTCCTCCATACAGATGGAAGCAGCACTAGATGCTAGATGGTCTGGTAGGACAGTCTTTCGTCCCATCATCAGGGCCTGTAACCTCTGCTCCTCCACCTACTCCTGCTGTGGTCAGCAGTGGTCTGACTGACCTGTCAGCACTCTCCACAGGATAGGCATGGGACCTGCCGGATGTGTGGTTTCTAAGGCTGTCTGGCTGCCTGCAGTAAAAGCTAAAGGCTTGGAGATTTCCAGAATATTTACTCATCACCAAGGGCACACCTATATGGAAGTGAACCTCACCAACAAAGCTGTGCAGCACATGACAGACTTTGCAATCCAGTCAAACAAGAGTAGCTTTGGTGTCACCCCCCAGCACTCTTCTGGCCAACCATATACTGCTGATGCCAACCCAGCGCCTGGATGTCTCCCTGCCTCTGAACACCTTAGGTCCGGTCATGAAGATGGAACCTCTGAATAACCTGCAGGTGGCTGTGAAAAACAATATTCACGTCTTCTACTTCAGCTGTCTCACCCCACTCAATGTGCTTTCTGCAAAAGATTTCAAAATGGACCACCAGGTCGTCCTTGCAACGTGGAAGGCTATTCCCAATGAAAAAGAACTTCAGTTTCAGATTAAGGAATGTCAATTTAAATGCTGACAGTTTCCAGCAAACTGCAAAATGACAATGTTTATACTCTTGCCAAAAGGAATGTGGAAGGAGAGGACATGCTGTACCAATCCTTGAAGCTCAATAATGGCATTTGGATTTTGGCTGAGCTATGTATCCAGCCAGGAAACCCAAATTACATGCTGTTGCTGAAGTGTAGAGCTCCCCAAGTCTCTCAGGACATCTATCAGGTCTATGGGAGCATTTCTGAAAAGCTAACAGCTGGGTCCGGTGCCTCCGGCCACCCTGTGATTGGTGCAAGCCAAGAACTCTTAACTGGAAGAAATCGTACTGCCATGTAGACTCTGAACTCAAACACCCTGAGGCCACACACCAAGATAGTGACTGGTCTAACCTGTGCTGAAATCAGGGCACAACCTGTTGGACAGTTTTAGCTTCTTGTGAACATTTGTAACCACTGTTTCAATCACTTCCCACCTCTTGTCACCTGTGACGGCTATCTGTCCTTACTTGTGAGCTTCTCTATAGTCTGTCAATGGCTGGCAGTTTTGAGCATAGTTTATTTTGTAGTTGAGAGCTCATTTCGAAAGCAGAAAAGGACAAAAAATATTAAAGCAAGGAAAAGGGTCCCTCAAAAAAAAATGAAGTCCTTTAGACTCCACTGCAAACAAAATCAGTTCTTGGAAGAAGCAAAATCTCTGAGTCATGGCTTGGAGCTGAGGGGTGGCCAAAACTGCACACCCCTTTCTGAGCCTTATCCCTGCCCCAAGAGCTGAGCACTTGGTGGAGGGGGTGGTCGCAGCCTCCAGTCTTCTCAGCCTGCCTCTCCTAGTATGGAAGAATCACCTTCTGCGCCAGCA